TATTATATATATATACGTTAGAATATAGCTATACTAATATATATATATATATATATATATATATATATAGTATCTTAATTTATGTGGCGTTGATTGAATTTTAAGAACTTATACTACTTTTAACATAATTTGTAAATATATAATCATCGAAATCCTTTTATTCCATTCATCCCTCTATTTTATTTATGCAGATACAAATGAATCAATCATTTCTTTTAATAATTGTAAAGAATAAGAAGCGGTGGATCAATTTTCATAAGTTTATCATAAATATGAAATATTTATACAAATAAAAATATGAAATAAATAAATAGAGACTACACGGGTCTATTTTCGAACAAAACGAAGAATGATAGCAACTCTCTCTTTTCAGTAGCAGGCGAGGCAAAAAAGACCACAAACACCCTTTGCATTTCCCTTTTTGAATTGGCCTATCAGAAAGAAAAACGAGTGAATGCGCTACATGTCTATTATTTTTTTTAAATTACTAATGTTGGCTTAGAGTGAGAATTCAGTCCATACCTTTACTTACCCGTTCTCTGTCGACTTTAAGTTCAATCAAAAGCTTAAAAGAAAGACCCAAGAGACGGCCTATGTAGTGCATGAGAAATAAACCAAAATAATTAAACTTTAATACAGATATCAAATACAAAATTCTAAGTAGGCCTACCAAAAAAAAAAATTAAATTGCTGGCCCAAAACTAATCGTAAATATTTTTTCATGAAAATAAAAGATTGAAGATGAAAATGGAGTTGTGTTTCACTTAGGATATATATTCACACGATTGAGAAGAAGAAAAGATAAGAGAAGAGGACGGATGAGCTAATCGAAGAGGATGACATCCAATATTCATTTGCTAAAACCCTCTTTCTCTCCTCCTAAAACCCTACCCACATACTACTCTTCATCTCCATTCACCGCTTTCAATTTCCACCTAAAACCTCGCCGGAATTGCCTCTATATTGGTTCAAAGCCCTTCAATGTCCACCTCTGTAAAGCTGCTGCATCCCCTTCCAGTTCCAGTTCTAACTCTGCTGGTGATGAAACTGAATCAGCTCAGCAGCTGTTTGAGGTAAGCTTTCTCTTTTTTTTGGAATAATGTGGTTTTTGCGCCTGCTTGCATTGATGCAGATGGGAAGGATTTGTATTAGTTTTAGTTTTTTTCATGCTAATTTGCTGATTGGTAGGAGTATTAAGTGTATTTACTTTGCTTTTGAAGGTTAAATTTACGGAATTTGATAATCGAATGGTTTAACATTACAATTTACTTATTTTTTTTTTTAACATAATACTTATCACAATTAGTTAACTTAGGAATACTATTAGGGTGATGGAGATTGCATGAAATTCATGGAACTTGATACAAAGTTATTCCTTTTGGTTACCGTATACTCTAGTTGGTTGCAGAATTTTTATTTGTTTATGGGAATTTCGATTGTATGTTGAACAAATTCAAGTATGATTATGATTCCTGAGATAACCATATTTTGCATTATTTGGATTAGAAGTACGTGTATAACAATTAAGGGTTAACAACAACAAAATAATTATGACTTGTTACTTCAGTTTACATACAGGATATTAGTTTTAATGCAATGTTTTGTTTAATGGGATCTCAGAAATTGAAGGAGGCAGAGCGTGAACGGATAAATAATTTAGAGGAGTTTGAAAGGAAGGCAAATGTTCAATTAGAGAGGCAGCTTGTGCTGGCTTCAGAATGGAGTAGGAAATTGCTGGCCATGCAGGGAAAGCTGAAGGGGACAGAGTGGGATCCTGAAAATTCTCATAGAATAGACTACAGTGAATTCCAAAACCTTCTGAATGCAAACAATGTGCAGTTTATGGAGTATTCAAACTATGGGCAGACAGTTTCAGGTTAACTATTCATTTTCATTTTTTTATGATGCTTAATTGAGCTTTGTACACCCTATGTTAAGTAATAGAAGATCTTCCTGCGATTGAGCATCATAACAAATTAAAAGAATTTAATTCTAGGTAGCAGACAACTTTTCCGTCCAGTGCACATGGTGATTATTGGGCAAGTGCGTGTGTGGTTGGAGCACCTCTTGTACTGTTTCACCTCCAGTAAATTAACAAATCACGCAACTAAACTATTGTGCATGCATTTGGGTAGGAGGTTACCAATTAAAAGAATATGATTCTAGGTATTAGTACCTTTGGGGGATCTCCACTAAAATTCTAGGTAGGCTTGGAAGTCATTCTTACTATCTATTGTTAATTTCTGACAATATCTAACCTTATCAACTTAGTTATCACTTATTTTTTTCTTCTATCTAGGAATCAGTTATGCAATATCTAATAGAGGATATCTTACCGCATTCCCAAGTTTGTTTATTTGGTTTCCGATTTATTTGTAGTGATTCTGCCATATTACAAGGACGGAAAAACAAATCGTTCAGGAGGGGACACTAAAAAGGAAATTGTTTTCAAGCGTCATGTCGTTGACCGGATGCCAATAGATAGATGGAATGATGTTTGGAGGAAGTTGCATCAACAACTTGTAAATGTTGATGTGTATAATGTGAATAACATCCCTGCTGAAGTTTATTCTACTATCGCGACAGCAGTTGTGTGGTCTATGCGGCTGGCATTTTCAGTTCTATTGTACATTTGGATTGATAATAAGATGAGACCAATTTATTCAAAACTAATACCTTGCGATTTGGGCAGCCCTCCCAAAAAGATAAAAGAGCCACTCAAGCAGCGTGCCCTTGGTTCATTAGGAAAAAGCCGGTAATTGAAAACTTTCATTGTTTGTTATATGTTTATTGACTGTACACTTCCTTTCAACTTTGTATGTTCTAGATAAGTTGGATTTATACCTTTCCTCGCATTTTATCAAGTTTCATCTTTGTCACTATAAGGCTTGAAATTATGTATGTTTTGAATCAGATGGGTTTTACTGTGAGCTTTGATAGGTATAGTTGTCCTTTAGGATCATTTTCCCTGATAACTTTGAACTTATCTATGAAAGTGAAAAACCCGAAATGCGGCACGAGTTCAAAGTTCATAT